GTACAGTGGAAGAATTGTAGTCATGTATGTGAAAAATAATTGAGCCTTGAAAATGTCTTTTTGCATTTGCCAAAAGAAAGCATATACGATATTGAACTGTGTGTTAATTAAACATTTTCAGAGCAAATGATGTAAGAGTCTTGGTTTATTCCATCTTGGCAGAGCAAACCTTTGTTGTTTTATAATTCAGCTGACTTGTTAGATAAAAAAGCCAATGTGCCTCTTGTGAAACTCCTGGACAAACAAAGAGAATCATTAATAAAAAATTGATAAGCTTACAACAGGACAATTTCAGTCCTATTGGATCCCAAAGGAATGAGAATCTTCAGGTCTTCTAAAGGATCTTGAGGAATGAATAGGAGAATTAAGTGGATGTCAGCCTAGGACAGATATCTTCAAATGTTAGATGTGTTAGGGTTTTTAGAGATTTATGAATTTTCTTGAGTTCCTGGAACATTATAGTGTAATGAAGCCAAGGAATTTAGGGGCAATTAATGATTGTGGTGATCAAATATAGCTGTCAAATTTCAAGTCATCTGATGCTTACCTTATGCCTGGTGAGTAGTTTAAAGGCATGGTGATTCATCAGTTAATATTTACCTTAACAATTTTTTACTATGTTATCAATTTCACATAAATCTAATTTTAAAAAATAATTTTGAAAAGTAAATGTAGACAAATCTTCATAATTTCTCTTAATATTGATGAAGCTATATATTTACAATTTTAAACTTATCTGCTGAAATTTTTATATCTTCTCTAACCTCCGTGTCTAAAAAGTACTCATCTGCTTTTCCATCTTACTTAGAAAAATTTCCAGATGATTTAATTCTATAGATGTGTTTTTAAATGAAGTGAACATAAACTTTATTTGTGTTGATGAAGTTCAGATGTTCTGACATGAGCAGAGTCTGACAGGATGCATTTTTGTGGCCTGCTTAGTTAAATATATTATTTTATCCGCTTTTTTGTGGAGCGGAGTGGCAACTGACTGGAATCCTATCACCCACATTTATTTTATTTGGAAGCTGAAACGGTTATTTCCACCGAGTGCTGTTACAAGACGGAAAGGAAAAGGAGATAAACAAATCGAATGTTCATTTTGGCAGTTCTTCTGATTACTAATATTTTAAGGGCACATTTAAAAATATCTAGCTTCTTTTATGCTATATTATAAACAGAAAGTTTCATTTCTCTTTTCCATGAAATATATAATCTGGGAAGTCTCCAGGGGAAATGTCAACTATCATGAAGTATGAACACTCCAACTGGGGAAAGGATTAATAATCAAAACAATGCCTTGTGAGCTTTTGATTCATTGTTTCTTGTTGACTTTTTCTAATCTGGAAAAAGCCAATTTAAGAATAGTATGTATCTTTCAGAATTCCAATTCTCCATCCTTGTTGCAGAACGGGTTCTATTTTCCCTCCTGTTTGTGCTGATACAGATAAGAAAAAAAGGAAAGAAAAAAATCCCCAAGAAACAACTATAAAGTTACACTACATATAAAACCTGATTGTTTACTGTGATCACTATAAAGTTACACTACATATAAAACCTGATTGTTTACTGTATCTTTCAGAATTCCAATTCTCCATCCTTGTTGCAGAACGGGTTCTATTTTCCCTCCTGTTTGTGCTGATACAGATAAGAAAAAAAGGAAAGAAAAAAATCCCCAAGAAACAACTATAAAGTTACACTACATATAAAACCTGATTGTTTACTGTGATCACTATAAAGTTACACTACATATAAAACCTGATTGTTTACTGTGATCTTTGCATTTTTATTATTTGGTGACAGTAATGCAGTCTACTTGATTCCTATAGAATACCTAGTAGGTATGTACACTATGATAATATTTAGGTTTTTCATTTGTTTTACTTTACACTTTTTGTGTCAGATAGTTTATGTAATTTCAATCCACATTTTTGAACACTTAATTTCTTGATATAAAATTTAACAGTATAGAGATAAATTGTGTTTGTATTGTGTCTTCACTCTATATCACATATTTCATCCCTGAAGAATTTTCCCCTTTGTGTACATGAAGACCTGAAGGTTGGATAATTTATCTTTATGGAGGTGATGACTTTAAAACTGTGCTATATTTTAAGGTTGTCTCAGAGAATAAGACCTCAGATAGTAAGGGTTTCCTTCTCATTATACACTTAACTGCTCCATGTGACCACTCTCTGTCATCTGGACCATGGTTATAATGTCCTAACTGTAAATTAATTCTTGCCTCTTTTCAATTCATTTCTACTTGGCAGCCTTTGGAATAAAAGCAGATAAAGGAATAAACAGAAATAGCCTCACTTCCCTCTTGCCTATATTGGGAATTGAGGTATATTATTATACCTCTGTTTATAATAATTCAAGTCTTGGTAGAGGAGAAGAGAAAACCTTCCTATCTGCCTACTTTTCATTTTGTCTGATTAGAGATTGTGTTTACTTCCAAGTAGGAGCTGACATCTGGTTATAGGCAGCTGTGATGAGATGCTTGATCTCTGGGGGACGAGTTTGAAGCACAAATGTCCTTCTTTCCAGACCACAGCACCCCTGCTTTGCTTTAGACACCATCCAAGTCCAATGTAAGCTGTGCACAAGGGCCAGGCTTGAACTTAGGATCACACATTGTGGTAGATGCTAACTGTGTTTGTCTTTCTTCATCAACTCACTCCATAGACCTGCAGAGAATATTGGTGTTATACTGAAAATCCTGTTCATGTTGTTCCCAGTGTAAACTCATCAGTTTCACACTAACTTTTGGTTGATAGGTGTCCCTGGACATAATTGAGTGTACCTTATTTCCAGAGTGATGTACCAAACACTGGCATGGTGTCTACTTTCAGTCATAGTGCCATTCATTCCTAAACCCCATTATTGCCTCAGGCCTCTGTGCTTCAAGTTCTGCTGTCTTCAGTGCTCTTACTACATTTATCCTTATGACTTATTCCTTTTCCTTAGATTCCTTGAAGTAAGAGTGCATGTGTGTGTGTGTGTGTGTGTGTGTGTGTGTGTGTGTGAACATGATAATGCTAATGCCAATTGTTTGTAATAATGCTAACATTGTTATAGCCTCTCTGTTAGGATACTGAGGTATATTTTTATTGGAAAATTATAATTGAGTAGAATAATTTTCTCTTTAGTTTTATTTTACTTAATATATATGACATTTTATTCTTTATATATATATTTAGGCTCTCTCATAAGTTGCACTTGCATGCAGAATATTATTCAGAATCTAAGTAGAACCATAATAAATTAATTCCAATGAAGACATTTCACTGTATTTGTTGGGACTCAGGTTTGCTTGCCTAGCTGGGGACCTACTGGCTTCGGGGCAGAGGGACTTTATCAGCAACAAAGTCTTAGACCCTAGGACCTGTGTCTTTTCAACAAGCCAATTTATTTTAAAATTCAGATGGTTTTTATACATCCCAAGGAGCTAGCAGTCATGTGGGATATGGCATTCACATACAAAGATTTAGGGTACAAAGAAACAGGAAATTTAGTCTGTTAGTTGGTGCCAGAAGGATTCTTAAACTTCTACTCAAGGTTATCAATGCTCATCCAGTAATTTATTGGCCACAATGTTTTTTTCCTTAGAGCTAAAACATGGTAAACTTTTAGCTTTTAGCTCAGGAGTAAACCTTTAACATGGTCTAATCTCTTAGCTAAGAATAGCTGAGTTATTTGTTCAGGACAAGGAGATGAGCTATGGGTTGTTGACCAAGATGCTTTCCTACAGAGCAGGGAGCCTTGAAGTTATGACCAGGCCGCTTCCTCCTGCTGGTCTAGCAGTGTTCTGCAAGACAGGGATTATCAGAGCCACTGTTTTCAGCGTCCCTCCCTTTAGCAGAGAATGCAGCCTGGGCTTAAAGGTTTTAGGCTCACCTCACCCTAGGCCCCAGCATCCTGGTTTCCTACATGTACTAGTGCTATAAAATGTATAGTTGCATCTTAAATAATAGGAAAGTATTTTATTGAAGAAACTTTTTTTCTCATATGTTACTTGATTAGCTACATGCTACATGAGTCTAAGAAAGTTTTCAGTAAGACCACTGTGTTGGTGGCAGTTTACCATACAGCAGAGAAAGTAATGTCAATAATGATGCTAGTAGATAGTCTTTACTGAGTTCTTGGTATGTCAATTTTGAGGATGAGGATGACCTTGAACTCCTAATCTTTTTGCTTCCACATCCTGAGTGCTGGGATTACATTGTGAGCCACCACTCCTGGTTCATGCAGTTCTGAGAATTGAACCATGTCCTCTGGCATGGTAGGCCAAGTCTTCTACCAGCTGAGCTCCATCCTTGTGCTGCAGGCAGAGGGGCTAGCCTTGAAGACACTGGGTGCCCTACCAGCATCTGCTCTCACTGTAGACATTACTGCCACTGCAGTCATCATTGTTGGCATCGTGTCATGACCCTCATCATCATCACTGTACAAAACACACAGGAATCTGGTTCTCTTGGAGCTTAAGTTTCAGGAAATAGAGTGAAAAATGCTTTTAAAAAATTTATGAAAGAGTCTAACTTAAAATATCTGTTTAAATTGAAGAACTATTAGAAAAGCAGAAAGCTTTAATCATGACTGTAGAGATTCAATAAGAATACATTTCACATCAATATCCTGATGTGAACTAATACCATCAGACTGTACTTTCTCAAAGACTGTTTTCTTATCTCTCAAGTAAAGTGTACCAAAATTTTGTTGTTTTAAAAGTAGTTATCATTAGAAACATGGTCAGAAGGACCACACTCAGCTAGTCTCTGAGATCATGTGCTTTGGAATTGCATTTGAAATTGCTAAGCAGTTGATGCATAAAACAGCAACAAGACGTATTTTTTAGGAACTCAGTAGAAATCGTATTTATATTACAAAAGAAATCTTTATCCTTTAGTTTGTGTTGGTATCAAGGGTGATAGCTCATCTGGTTTCAGCTAGTAATCATGCTTAATGGGAACTTTGCCTTCATTATTTTTCTCTCTTAGAGCGATACCGCATCCAGAGTGAACAATTTGAAGACCTTTGGCTCGTAACCAATGAACTTACTTACCGCCTTCAGGAATACTTTGAAAAACAGGGAATCAAAGATTTTGCATGCTCTTTTTCTGGATGTTTGCCCCTTCAAGAATATTTTGAATTGATTGATCATCATTTTGAGGTATGATATTAACCCGAATCACTGAAATTCTTAAATATATCAAAGAGAAAGAGATACGATTGAAGAATTCAAGTGCATCTGAGTAGGCTGCTGAGTTTGGAATGCTAGTCTTATATGGATGGTAGCCTTTGCCCAGTTTCTGATCAGTTGCAGACATACACAGAATGGCAGCCTGGAGCTAAGATTGTGGTCTGGCCTTGAAGTAGAGCTGACTGAATTCTCCCACATGGGGACTTAAACATTGACCCCAATAACCCAGTGTTAAAACTATTTGAGCTTATCATCAGCCATTTGGCTAACTAATTGGAACAGGACATAAATAAATGAGGTGCGATTAAAAATAGTGTGATTTTACTTTTCCTTCTGTGACAAGAACAACAGAGCTTCTGTGTTGGATTAGGAATTAGGGTTAATCACCTAAAATGCTCTCTAGTACATCACATAATGGATGCTTAGTAAATACTGAATAACTTCAAATCAATGAGATCTGACAGGGACATTTGCTCTGAATATTTCACGCTTTGGCAGTATCTTAGAGCAGTGTTAGAATCTCCTGAGCATCTCAATGATACTATTTCTATATACATTGAAGATTAATTGATATTTGGAGAAAGTCATATTTTGTGAATGGATTGGGCCGTGATTGTCCTTTAAAAAGTTGTGTCTATTAAAATAAAGTCACTAGGCTATGCTTACTTAATAGAATCTGCAAACATATTCCCCAGGGAATTAAATAAAGGGAATTTTGAAAGACTTTTGAATATCATTTAAGTAAACATTGGTTATTAGAGTAATTTTTAAAATTTTTATTTAATGTGTATGAGTGTATTGCTTGTATGTATGTACATGCACCCATGTCCTAAGAAGAGGGTGTCGGATTCCCCTGGAACTGTAGTTAGGGATAGTCGTTGGCTGCCTGTGGGTACTGGGAATCAAACTTGGGTCCTCTGCAAGAGCAGCCAGTGTTCTTAACTGCTGAGCCATCTCTCTAGCCCCTAAAGTAATTTTTAAAATGATTTATTGATTTTTCTGTGTATGCATGTGTATCTGAGTGTATGTGTGTATATATCATGCATGCAGGTGCCAGTAGATGCATCTGATTCCCAGACCTGTAGTTACAGGTGATTGTAATCTGCCTGATGTGGGTACTGGGAACCAATCCTGAGTCCTCTGCAAGAGCAGCAAGTGCTCTTAACTACTGAGTATCTCTCCACACCCTGGAGTGATAAGTTTTTAAGGATTCAGCAGTTACTCAGCCATGTCTAATGCTGACAAGGGGATGTTTTCCTCAGTTGCTTCTCCGCCTTATTTTTTAAGGCAGCATCTCTCATTGAACTTGGAATTTACCTTTTCAGGTCGACTGGCTGGTCAACAACACTACAAGTTTTGACTGTCCCCTACTCCCCCATTCCACACCTCCACCTCTATTTTTGGGTTTTTATGTGGGAGATCTGATTGTGGGTCCTCATGTTTGCACAACAAGTACTTTATCTCATTGGGGCATCCCCACAGCCCTACTGTAGTTCTTTTCTAGGTCAGTATGCATTTGACTCAATTGTGGCACCCAAGCTGACAGTTTGGGGGAATATTTTTGGTATTTTATTTATTTTGCTTGTTTTGTTGAGACAGGGTCTTCTTGTAGCCCTAGGTGGCTTCAAACTTGCTATGTAGACCAGACTGGCCTTGATCTGCAGAGATCTTCCTGTCTCTGCCTCTGGAGTGCATGTGCCACCACTCCTAGCAATATTTAGGAATTTTAAATGTAGGCATTTTGATTATTCATATATCTATAATTATTAATATCCTGATATGTTTATTACTTTCTTTCCTCCCTTTCTTTGAGTGTTGGGGACTTGAACCAGGGCTTTGCACATGCTAGACAAGTGCTCTAGCACTGAGCTAGATCCCCAATTACTTTTTGCAAGTATTATTTTGAGGGTAGAGTCCCAGTTAGCGGGATTGCTAGATCAAAGCTCTACATTAAAGAGCTGGGATCATTTGCATTTTGGGGGGTTAAAGTTAAGAAATTTTTCGTTGTGCCAAACTGAGAGGTCTGGTGGTTTATGAAAGCGAGTCAATAGAAATAACCGCATGTTTATAACATTTAAAATAAAGAATGCTATGTACTGTTGGCTAATAGGTTTGCCATGCACTTTCCCCTCATCTGTTGTCTGGGAATTCCCCAGTCTTTCCATATCAGGCTCTTTCCTTTTGGAGGAGGGCGTTCAGGCACTTTGATTTGTTACACACATGGGGTAATGACTATTTTTCCTTTGCTCCCTGTCACCACTGACTGTTTTGAACTATTAGTAAGTTCTTAAACTTTGAATCATGATAACTTTTAGAATCTTTGTTGCTTTGTGTAAGCAAGGCAGACATTTTTGTCTGTTTTATTCATTTTCGTAATTCTCAGTGCCTGAAACAGTTTTTGATCTTGTGATCAATCAATAAATATTTGCTGAATGTTAAAATTCATTTTATCTATTATTATTGTTGGTATGTGTATATGTGTGTGCCTATGATGTACATGTGTGAGTGTAGGTGGCTGATGTAGAGGGCAGAGGACAACTTTGACGAATTGGTGCACTGTGAGTTGTGGTATTGAACTTAGGTTAGGTTGTTGAGCTTCTGTGGCAAGTACTTTTACTCAGTGAGTGATTTCACTAGCTGCTAGGCCCCCAAATGCTGAAATTCTGAAGGGAAAAAGTTTTAATTGCTGTTGCTTGTTATACATTAAAAGATCAAAAGAGACAGCCTGAGAGGGTGGGTTTGGACCTCCATCCGTGTATCTGCTCGGAACTCAGCAGACCGCCAGAGAGTGCCAAGTTCTGGCCTCCCTCTGGCCTCCATGTAGTACACACAGGGCCTGAGAACCCAGGTGACTGCCTGAGAGCCCCCGGATCCTGTGGTGAACCTTTGAGAGGGAACTGATACTGATTCTAACCACTCCAACAGCTATCAAAATACCTGAAAACAAATCCTGATTCCATCACTCTAGAGTCCAGCCTTGGAAGACAAAAGAAAAATGAGGAGGAACCCAATAGAGAGATGCTTTTGGAAGCCCTTGTCAAGAAATTCCAATGGACTCTCAAATGAACATTCGAAAATTGCCCTGTTCTAACTTTTTTCTACTTCTCTGCCTAGAACTTGTAATGCTAATTACTCTTGTCTTTACTTCTCCTTCACATCTCCTAGTCACGATTCAAAGACTTTCTTTTCCCCTTAGAGATAAGAGTTATGCAATTTGGGTGTCTTTTAGATAGACCCACTGAAGGGGTACTCCAATTGCCTCACCCTGCGTCCCTGTTCAGCATGGAAGAAGCCAGAGCGGTCTGCCTCCTGATTCCTTATTGGCAATTTGGTAACTTCTTCAGAGGATGGTTAGGAGGTAGGAATTGACTAGGCAGTTAGGGTAAAAAGATCCCAAAGAAAAGTAGCCAATTTCTTGTCTAAAAGTCAAAATGTCCTTGGGCCTCTTAGCAACATACTGTGTTCCAAAGGCTAAAAATGTCAAAAGTATTTGGGAGCTTTTGTCTAATCCTTAAAAGATTTTAGGGTTACCTCTTCAGAGGGCAGGGGGATGTTAGAGTAGCCAAAAGAAAAAGAAAAAAATGATGGGGAGATATGGGAGGTGTTAGTGGGGAGGGAGTGGGCATGGATTTGGCCAAAACACCTTATATGCATGTATGAAATTCTCAATAAAGTTTTTGTAAAAGTTAAAAAAACAAAAAAATCAATAGCCTGTGTGTGTTGAGAAGTTGTTTTTAGTTTTTGTATGTTTCATAGATTCAGGATCAGGAAATAAAATATTATAGAAGCAAATTTCTCAATTACATAAGGGGTCATTATAATTTGCCTATCATTTGTTTGAGGCAGGCTCTCACATATCCCAGGCTGGCTGTAGAGTCTATGCAGGTGAGGGTAAGGATTCCTTTGAACTTCTGATCCTCCTGCCTCTATCTTCTGAGTTATGGACTTAAAAGTATGTGCCACCATGCCTGGTTTATATGGTTCTGCGGATTGAACCCCTGGGCCTCAGGCATGCGAGGCAGGCATTCTTCCAGTTAAGTATATTTCCAGTCCCTTTGAATCATTAAAAAAATTTAGTTATTAAAATTCATAGTGTTACTTAATTTTGATAATGGAAGAATGTTTTTTCCTTAAGAGTAGCTTTGACTAGATTTCTTTTATTAATATTAAATGTAAAAGTTATGGGATAAGTTACTGATTCTTATCCGCTTGCCTGTCAGTCTCTTTTGAGGTAACTGTTGGTGTCATGGACCTTTATAGAAATAGTCTATGTAGTCAGAACTATGCTAATGCACAGGTTTACTTAGAAAACACACTCTTGGAGAGTATCACATCATAACATTCTATTCTGTGTTTTTTACTTTCTTTGTTTAATACATCACTGGAGAGCACTGCACATCAATACATACCTTGCAGAGTACTCCTCTTATTTAACCTGTTAGTGGAAATTTTAATTGTTAGTATATCAGGATAAACAATAAAGCAATTATGTTATGAATGCTTTTATATATATGTTGCATTTTGCAAGATTTTTCTCTTGCATAAATTCCTAACAGTGTGATTGCTAGCTCAAAGACTGTACATTAAAGAGCTGTTGTGAGCTGGCAGGTTGGGCTTGGTGGTACATTCCTGTAACTCCCAGTTCTTGGGAGGCTGAGGCAGAAGCATTGTGAATTTGAGGTCACCTGGGCTCCATATAAGACTCTTTCTTCTCACAAAATAACTAACTAAATAAATAAACAAAGGTACACTATTAACTTTTATGGTAAAAATTTGTCTTTCCTTTTATTGCATTATTGCTTTCTCTTTATGATTTCTGTTGCTTTATAGGCATTTTCACATTGGGTTGAAGATAATTTCTAGCCTCTATGTTCATACTTTTTGTCATTCTTATAGTTGATGATACTATTTTCTACAACTTACCATTTGTCCTATTACTTTAATTATAGTCTTTTACTTTTGTGGAATTAAATTTGTGTGTGTGTGGTGTGTGAGTGTGGTGTGTGGGGGGGGTGGTGGTGTGTATGTGTGTGGTGTGTGTGTGGTGTGCGTGTGTGTGGTGTGTGTGTGGTGTGCGTGTGTGGTGTGTGTGTGGTGTGCTTGTGTGGTGTGTGTGTGTATGTGGTGTGCATGTGTGTGTGGTGTGTGTGTGTGTGTGTGTGTGTGTATGGTGTGCATGCATGTGTTTTTTGTGTGTGGGGGTGCACGTGTGTGTTGAAAGCCCAAAGGTGACATTCAGTGTCTTCCTTGATTGCTCTTCACTTTTTTTTATAAAGTAAAAATCTGTCACTGTACCTGGAGCTCAGCAATTCTGGCCACTCTAGCTAGCCAACATATCCCAGGGATCCCTTTCTCTGCTTCTGGAGTTCTGGCATTTGAGGTGGCCAGCATATCAGCCTTGCATTTATATAGGTTCTGGGGATCCAACACTGGTTTTTGCACTTCTGCCATAAGTGCTTTATCCACTGAACCACCTCCCTAGCCCTGTGTCTGCTTATATTAGTAATTTATCAGGGGATGTGTGTGTGTCTTTCTCTTTCTATGCTAGTGTGTCTGTTTGTGTTGCTGTCTTTTGGCTTTTGATTTAAATTAATAAAGGCTGATATTTTAGAAAAGGATTTCTAATTTTGCTAGTACTTTTGTCTAATCATTTTTTCTTTTGTGTTTATTATAAGAAACAAAAATTTATATTTTCTATGTAGCCAGTTTTTACAAAACATTTTTGTATGCTTTCATTATGATTTTTTAAAATAAATACTTTATTGAGAATTTCATACATGCATATAAGGTGTTTTGATCAAATCCATGCCTACTCCCTCCCTTCCAATTCTTCCTATATCTCCCTATCACTTTTTTCTGATAACTTCATGTACTCTTTCTTCTTTTTTGATTGATTGATTTATTTTTTTAATGGGGCTTTTGGCTACTCTAACATTCCCCCTCTGAAGAGGTAGTCCTAAAATCTTTTGGGAGCTTTTAGATAAAAGCTCCCGGATATTTTCAACATTTTTGGCCTTTGGAAAGGAGTAGGTTGCTAAGAGGCCCAAGGACATTGGGAGTTTTAGCCAAGAAACTGGCTACTTTTCTTTGGAGTCTTTTTACCTTAACTGCCAAGCCAATTCCTACCTCTTATTCTTATCACACCATCCTCTGAAGAGGTTACCCAAAATGCCAGTAGGGAATAGGGACGCAGACTGCTCTGGCTTCTTCCATGCTGAACAGGGACGCAGGTTGAGGCAACTAGAGTACCCCTTCAGTGGGTCTATCTAAAAGACTCCCAAATTGCTTAACTCTTATCTCAAGGAGGAAAGGAAAGTCTTTGAATCATGAATAAGAGATGTGAAGGAGAAGTAAAGACAAGAGTAATTAGCATTACAAGTTCTAGAGAGGGAAGTAGAAAAAAGTCAGAACAGGGCAATTTTCAAATGTTCATTTGAGAGTCCACTGGAATTTCTTGACAAGGGCTTCCAAAAGCATCTCTGTATTGGGTTCCTCCTCAATTTTCTTTTGCCTTCCAAGGCTGGACTCTAGCATGATGGATTCAGGAGTTTGTTTTCAGGTATTTTAATAGCTGTTGGAGTAGTTAGAATCAGTATCAGTTCCCTCTCAAAGGCTTCACCATGTGGAGGCAGGATCCGGGGGCTCTCAGGCAGTCCACTGTGTGCTCCTCTGTCAGAAAGAGGCCAGAGGGAGGCCAGAACTCGGGCACTCTCTGGTGGTCTGCTGAGATTAGAGCTACTACACTGATGGAGGTCAGAACCCACCCTCTCAGGCTGTCTGCTATGATCTCAGCCTTTGCCTCTCATTATGATTTTTATTAAATGTATATATTCATATAGTGTCACTGCAAGTATATGCTATTCTCTTCAATGATTTTTTTTTTTGGTTTGGGGTTTGTATACTTTTTATTGAATTTTTGTGTATTTCATACAAACATCTTAACCATCTTTATACCACCTTCCTCCTCCACCCTTCCCTTTGCTGACCCCCCACCAGATTTCATGCATTCTGTCATTTATGTTAAGGTCTGTTGAGTCAAGTTAGTGTCCCCATGCATACCTCAGTGCAAATTTGTCCACTGGGGTCTAGTCATCCTGTCTAGAGTCTCTCCCTTTAAGAAGATCAGCTCTTCCTCAACCAGCAATAATCAGCTGTCAGTAGTTCTTCAGCTAAGTTTGGGGCCTGCTGCCCGTTTCCTCAGTTCTATGTTGGGTTTTTGTCTGTTTGAGTTACACCATTGCTGTAGATTCATATGAGCAAGGTCCCAGGAACCTGTGAGACTCTATTTCCATATGGTCATGCACCTCCTCCCCTGTCTCTTATAATCTTTCTGCCCCCTTTTCCTGCAATGATCCTTGAGCTCTGGGTGGGTGGAGTTTAACATAGGAGTCCTGTCAAAGGACCCATACTGTCTGCAGACTGTTGGGATGTTGAGAGATGCATGTTTGCTGATGAGAGTTTAGAGATGTATTAGTACTCTCTCTACTCCTTGTTCTACTATGTTCCGTGAACCCTAGGTGTAGAGGTTCCATGGTAGATGTGTCACTTAGGGTTGGGCATCTCACAGTTAGTTATTCTCTGTGTATGACCAGTTGTGGAACTCTGTAATAGTCCCTGAGTTCTAGGTGGGTGGAGTTTAACATAGCAGTCCTGTCCAAGGACCCATACTCTGTAGAGATGTTAAGAGATGAATGTTTGCTGATGAAAGTTTAGAGACGCATTAGTAGTCTCTGTCACTTAGGGTTGGGCATCTCACAGTTAGCTATTCTCTGTGTATGGCCAGTTGTGGAGCTCCGTGATAGTTTCCATCTGTTGCAAAAGAAGAAGCTTCTTTGATGAGTAGTGATTGGTATACTTGTCTGTAAGTATAAGGATCCATATTTAGCTTGTAGTAAGAAATAACATTTGTCTAGGGATGTGACAGCCTTAGGATTTTCTCTAGGACGTATCTAGCCACATGTATTTGGCTATGTTTACAGTACCACACATGAATTCCCTCCCAGTGAGCAGGCTTTAGGTCCAATTAGGTAACTACTGATTACTCCTAAGATAAAAGTGCCACTACTGCCCCAATATAGTTTTCTGTGCAGATCATTGTTGTGGTTATTAGGCCTTAAAAATTTGGTCAGACCATCAGTTGGTGTTTTCCCTTAGCAGCTTGGAAGTGTCCTCCAAAACTATGAGAGCTAGCCTTCAGGGAGTTAGCTTCCAGGTCAGTTCCAGCTCTACTGCTCCAAGTCCTATGTTTGAAGTATGTTCTGTCTTCATCAGTAGGATCTTACCTTATTTCTAAGAGGCAATCAAGGGCTGTGGTAATAGCCTGTGTAATTTGGGAGTCTCTTGACTACCCTGGCCAATAACTTTAAGGGAGGTTTCTCCTGTCTGGCACTGTTTCTTGTTATATAGGTTTCAGTTGTACACATAGACACATGTAGAGATATTGTATGTGTACTTTTTAAGTAGGCTTTTGAACTACTACATTTCTCTCTGGTTTTTCTTACTAGCTAAGCATTATTTTTCTCTCCTCTCTTTGTCCCTGTCCAACCTTCCCTCCTCCCTCCCCAGTTAAAGTACCCCCATCTTCCCCATTTCACCCTTAAATAGTAAGTCTTTTCCCCATTGATACTGCTCCATGTTCAGTAAATATATACTTATCTATGCCTCCATAGTGTCTATGTATTCAGGTACCAAATACCACACTGTTTTAATTTCTATCTCTATAATTCATTTAAACTTGTCCAGCACTCTTTTTCAAACTTTTATTGTGTTGCTTGTATTTTTACTTTAAACGTCTTTTGCTGTATCTATTTAACCTCAATTTGAGAAATTCTTCATTGCAGCTGCGGATAAATGGTGAAAAACTAGAAGAACTCTTGTCTGAAAGAGCTGTACAATTTCGGGCCATCCAACGCCGGCTCTTAACAAGATTCAAAGATAAAACGCCAGCCCCACTCCAACACCTGGACACCCTGCTAGATGGAACTTATAAACAGGTCAGTGTAATATCAGCAGTAATTGTATGCTCCTGGATATCAGTTTCTCCTTCACCGTAGAATACTAAGAATACTAATGTCAGAATACTAAGGTAAGCTGTGGATTATGATTAAGATTATTATATGATTCTTGGTGCATTGCATAATTATCAATTTTATTCTCTTATTTTCCCAAGCAACTAGCTTATTCTTCCAGTATTATGGCAGTTGATATTTTGAGATGGAGTTCTTAGGGAGTCTGCTTCAAAGAGTTTTAGTTAAGTCACTTGCTTCTTCCTCTTTCTTTCCTTCTCTTCCTCTCTTTCCAACTGTGGTTTATTGTTTGTGCAAAAAGGGTGAACTGACTCTCTCTTTAGACTTTAGATCTCCAAAGTCTATTTGAAATGATCGTCTCCTGTTAACTATTTGGAATCTTTCACTTTTTCATGCAAAGAGAGCTTTCAATTTCTTTCTCAGTTCTTTTTATTGATCTTTGTGCCACTGTGACTGTCTTAACAGCAGCAGTCAGAGAAGCACTCTGAGTTGTGGAGTGAGACCCTTGTTCTCTCCCCCTTGACACCATGTATCTGAATGGTGCTTAGTTGTCAGCATTTAAGAAAGCAGTAATATTTTACTTATATGAAAATAGAGGCAAAACCAAGCATCTTTCTTAAGGTATAGTATTTTTACCACGTTAGGTATTTAATATTTGCTCTGTCAATGAATTTTATATTGTCACTAATAAACTTGAAACTGTCTTTGATAAGGACACTACTCCAAAGAATGAAACAACAGAAAATTCTTTTGGACTCATGAATCAAGATCATTATTATTCTAGTATGCTCAAGGAGTGCTAAGAAATGGAAACTTTCCCTTCTTCTAAATAGGGTAATTGGAGGACTCAGGCAAACTGCCAGAGCCAGGAAGGTTTAATAGCTGCAAATTCTTGATTGAGAGAAAAATGTATAGATTGTATCTTAAGCTATGTGTGTATGTGTATGTATATGTATATGTATATGTATATGTATATGTATATGTATATGTGAGTGCTGGTGCCCACAGAGTCCAGAGGTGTTGGATCTTTCTGGAGCTGGAGTTACAGGTTGTTGTTAGCTGTCTGGTATTGGTGCTGGGAACCTTGGGTCATCTGCAAGAGTAGTAAGCAGTCTTAACTGTGGAACCATCTCTCCAGCTCCTTTTTAAACGAGACTGTGTGTGCTGTAGTTAAATATAACCAGCCCTCTGGGGAAATGCCACTATGTGGATGGGGCACAGTTGAGGTTAAATCCCATTATATTCTAAATGGCCTGAGATTTCAGGGCTATCTCAATATAAATGACCAGTCCAGAAGCTTGAAAAATTCTGATTTTATTCATTTTCTGTGTTCAGAATTATTGAGCAGCTCTTTATGGAAGGCAAAATTTCTTTCTTAAAACACATATTCTTTTAGGGGCTGTCCTGCAAGATGGCTCATTTGGTAAAAGCACTTGGCCATCAAGTTTGATGACCTGCGTTCAATCTCTGAAGTCCATAGTAGAGAGAAAACTAACTCCAAAATGTTGTCCTCTGACCTCCACATGCACACCATGATACAAGCAGGCCTGTTCTCACATACAACATTGTACACACACACAGACACACACACACACAAATATGTATTATAATGAAAAAAAAATAATGCTCTTTCAGCAAGCAGGAAGGGATATAGAAATACAGGGCTGAAGGTTGTTGGCATTTCCTGGCTCATTAGTGGTCCAGGAAGTATTGCGAATTCTACTGTTGTCATTCAGAAAAATAGAAATCGAAGCCCAAGGCCCTTCATGTATGCACTTGAGGTCAAGCTCTGCTGAGTTGGCTACAGGTTTGGTACACTCAGAGTTAATTGTAGTGGGCTCATGAATTCAGGGTCCAAGTTTGGCTTATGATCTCTAAATTAAATAATAATAGCTATTCTTACTATTTAGGTACTGACCACTTAGTTACTAGTTACTAAGTAAAGAAGTAGGTAAGGGCAGAACAGGCATTATGGGAACTGCACCTTTGGTGTTTTGAAGTGACTCTGTGTAGCTCTGTCTTATTAAGTAAGTCAGAAAGAGATGTGTGCCTCTAATCCTTGAATGCCTGAGGTGTAGGTGCCTTTCATTCTGATCCAGCAAGAGCCAGTTAGTGACCACTATTGCTTCTAAGCTTGCAATAAGATAACTAACATTATTTCTTTTCATATATGCTAATTAATACTTTAGGGTTTTTTAAATTTCTTATTTTTGTGCCAACATACATGACTAAAGCAACTTAAGGGAAGATTTATTTTGTCTTATGGGCTAAGAGGAGATCCAGTTGATAATGATGGAAAGGCATGGCAGCAGGGGTGTGGACCTGGGGACTATACTGCATTTGCTGTCAGGAAGCAGAGAGGCATAAATGCTGATGCCCAGCAGAGTCCCTTGTTTTTTCCTTTTGATTCAGTTTAGAACCCCAGCCCATGAGATTATCTGCCTATTTTCAGGGTGAGTCTTTTGTCCTAAGTTAAGCTTCTCTGGAAATGCCTTCACTGAGACACACAGAGGTGTGTCTCCATAAGTGATTCCAAATCCAGTCAGCCTGACAGTGATGTCTGACCAGCGGAGGGTTTGAGGTGCATATCTGATATACCAGTGTGTGAGGATTGAGAACTTTGTGTCTGATCAGCCTGCCAGTGTTCCTGGCCATTCCTTTGCTTCTTGATACCTCTTTGACCTTAGGCAAATTACTTAGAAAAAAATCAAAAGAACATAAATAACTTACTTCCCTAAACCTCTGTTTCCCCACTTACAGAATAATGATAATTGTGGTGCTTCCTATATCAAGTTGTAGTGATATAAATGTATAAACATATAAAGTGCTTTGAGTTGTGCTTGGTACATAAGTTCTCAACACATTTTACCTGATTCTGGGGAATCCTCTTGATCATTTGACCAATGTTATGCCATCTCATAAATGCTGCTACTAATTGATCAGATGAAAGAGATTATAATAGTAGTACATCATCTCTTAGAAACTCTGTTATCTGTCAGTCTCACAAATGGAGACTGTGCTGATCGCTTTAGTTGTCAACTTGATGTACCTGGGTAGAGGGAGCCTCCATTGGACTGGCCTGTGGCCATGTTTGTGGGGCATTTTCTTGATTGTTGAGTGATGTGGGAGGGCCCAGCCCACTGTGGGCGGTGCCATCTCTAGGCAGGTTGTTCTGTATTGTATAAGAAAGCTGGCTGAGCATGGACCAGGGGAGCAAGCCAGTAAACAGTGTTCCTCCATGGCTTGTGCCTCCAGCTCCTGCCTCCGGGTTCCTGCCGAGTTCCTGTCTTGGGTTCCCTGATGAATTGTGACCTAGGAGATGTAGACTGAATAAAGCCTTTCTTCCCCAAGTTGGAATTGGTCAGAGTATTTTGTCACAGCAGTGGAGGAACAAACTAGAACAGAGACCTTAAGTAAGAATGACCAAGGTCTGGTATCCTCAGGGTTGTCACCCAAACTCCTTCAAGCCAACCTGCCTCAGATATTGTTTACCTGAAGGGAAGGATCCAAAAGGAAGGGACATGAAGATTATGAGCCCAGGTGACTGTCTTCTCATTGCTTAATTTGCAAAGAAGTTGCTCAGGCAAGCACTCTACCCCCGAGCTGCATTCCCACTCAGAAGTTTTTCTAGTTATTATCACTTGCTTTGACTCTAGCAGTTTTTACTGAAAGGTTAATATGATTGTCATTTTGTACTCCTTCCTTTTGTTGACGCTCAGCACTTTTCAAATTTACTTGACTATTTGTATTTTCTTTGTGTCTGTGTGATTTACATTATACTTGCCTTTTGTTCACTCTTGTACCAAGTTGTTCATCTTTTTCTTAATCTTCTGAATATATCAGTAATAATTTTTATGATTCCTTGGTTATGCATAAAATACTTTGTGTGTTAATTGTCCATGTAATTTATATAATAAAGTTGATCTTTCATTTATGTATATGTAAAAAAAGTTTTACAAATTTCTCATTTGCTTTTAATTTTATTTTAATGTCTTTTTTAACATGTAGTCTATCCATCTTTTTCCTTTAGGTTTCTCTGCCTAGGATAGCCTTCCAAGTGGCAAGAGTACCTAGATATCAACTTTTAATTTATTCTAACATCTTATGCCATCATTCTTTATATATACTTTTAAGTCCATCTGGAATTTATTATGCAATTCAGTGAGAATCTAATCTCCCTGCCAGAAATGGCGAGCTGTGTTTCTCAGCCCTACGTATTGCATAATATGTTCTCTTTCCTACTGAGTTAAAACGCTGCCTGTATTATTTAACAATTTTACCATATAGCAGATCATCCCACACCTTAGTGGCATAGAGCAATAACCATTTGCCATTTATTGTTCCTAAGCCCCTGGATCAGCTAGGCAGTTGATCTGAGGCCTTGCTTACCTGACCTTGGCTGGGCTCCCTCAAATGTCTCTGGTCAGCTGATGGCTCCTCTTGACATAGGAGAGTCCAGGGTGTTCTTGCTCACACACTTGGCAGTTGACTTGCAGTTCATTGGGGTCACTGAACCAGCTGTCTCTTGTGGCCCAGTGGGTTGGGCTGGCTTATTTCTCTAGTGGCTGTAGGGTCAATGCTAAAGTACTTTTCAAGTCTTTTATCTGTGTCATTTCTCCTGTGCTCCATTGTTTTTGGATCACAGGAGTGGAAAATACACCATGCCTGCTTATTTGGAGGAATAAAGAATACTGGGAACTTCTTTCCTCTTTCTTGTTACAAATATCACTATATATATAGTATCACAATGTATTAAATTACAGTGCTTTTAGTGTGGGGTGTATCGAATCTAAGGCCTTATATATGCCATGCAAGCATCTTACCACTGAATCATATCTCAAGCTATCAAGATGCTTAACCTATATTCTGTATTTATTTATTATGTGTATGACTATATTGCCTGCATTATGTATATGCACCCAAGCATGCAATGCCTGTGAAGGTCATTAGAAGGTGTCAGGTCCCTC